ATCGGCGCCATAAATTTAACTCACACAACCGTGACATTTTTTTTTTATCAAAAAACTGTTTTTTGTGGTATTTTTAGATGATTTTCTAGTGTTTGGGAGGATAATTTTCGTATCTTAAGATGGAAAGTTTTTAGTTTAAGAAATTATTAGTGGAAAACCCGGATAAAAAGGCATTGGCCTCCATTTTGAATTCCATTTTGACAGGTCGTTGGATTTCCCTATAGAGAGAGAAAGGGATCCCCACTATATAGCTTTCTTTGGACGCACTAAGAGAGATGACAAATGCCATACAAATGCCATATACGACAACGGTCGGTGCCATTCCAGGTACGTGTAGTTTATAGTTCATTGTCCCCGACTCGTTAGAAAATGACAACAAACCTCAAAATAATAAAATCAAAAACCAAAAATTTGTAGAAGGCAACTATTGGAAACATTACCCACGACCCAAGTAACAACAGCACGTGAAAATGACGTTAAATACTGGTCATCAAGTGACGAGAAATGACGAGCTAAATGACTTAATTATGACGTGAAAATGACTTCCTAATGTCTGGGACGAATGACGTCATAGTTGGTACGTCATTTTTACGTGTTATTTGACGTCAAGTTTATGAGTTATTTAACGTGATATTGGCGTATTAATAACGTTCCATTCGCGTGATATCTATTTTATAAATGACGTCATATTTACCTGATATATTTTCTATAAATCCTTGTTTTTTCAAATTTATATGACCTGTAACGAAAATGAACCAACACTATATCACTTTTGAGAAAAATATATTTAAAAAAAGACAATATAAATATTCTGTAGGCGTATTAAACATATTACTTGTAGTACTTGCTAGGTGAGGTAACAACCAGACACTTACCTGTTGGTCCATAAGTTGGCCCTTAGGTGAACAAGCAATAATAATAATGTATATTATAATATAAAATAAGGTATATTAAAACAAAAGACATATACTTACGGTTGGTGATTGTTATTAGTCTCAACACAAACACGTGAATAAAACTCACATTCATATAGAGGCGTTTCACTTGGATGCAGCAGGATGATTCTGAAGAGAAATTAAAACCGAAAAATATATCAAGAATTAATAATTCCACGCGATACTTGCGTAAAAAAGAAATGAGGGAAACTTGGAGGGAAATGAGAAAGCAAAAAGCGAGGGAAAACCAAATGAAACACGACCACGCCATGCTACAACCACAACATAACCTCAACAAACTCCCTCACAACAATCAACGTCAACAGTCACACACACAGTAGCGAATTGGAAGGGTTAGTGCGCACTGAGTGTGTTCGTGTGTTTTCTACCGACTTCTATAAGAAAGAGATAAAAAAACATTTTTCTGCACTGGTTCTACCAATAGAATTCGCTGAATAGCATATTCGTTTCCCCACGCGGCGATGCAATATTTATTGTTGTCCCTTACTAATACTAAACTAATGCTAGAATTTCGAAACAAAAAAAATACAGGAGTGAGTGTATTTGTATTTACTCTTTTCCTTTTTCCCGTTGAGTTACTCGGAGCTGCTCAAAGTCAGAAGCTTGAACGTTTTTCGTTCGGTGTTTGTTCGGTGTCACTCGATGTATAAAAGGAATACAGTAATTTCCGCATTCACCAAACCGTTGACCAAACACAAAAACAAACCAAATACGTCCCCTTTCTGGCCTTTCCACAGTTTCTACCGTTTATTTCTATACTATTTGAAAGTCAGAGATGGAACTATGAGTATGAACTATGGGAGTTTTCCATTTAATTTTTATTCAAAGATGTGTTTTCAAACGCATCAAAGTTTTGCTGTAGTAAAAATTAAAAAACAGGATGTCGAAAAAATGCGAGGGTAGGGGTATTATTCGCATTCGATTCGATCAAAATTTTCGTGAGTAGTTACAAATGCGAAAAAAAATAATGATTTGTATCATCACTTTGTCTCCTATTCACTATAGAATACAGTATACACGGCACAACCCTAGGAATTCTAGGAATACATTCAAAACACATTGAAAAAAAAAAACTAATTCAAAAAACCAGGTTTACTGAACCACAAGCAAAATACGTGAATATTACATGATATATATTGACGTCAATGTGTATTACATTTATCACCAGAAAAACGCGTCAATATTACGTGATAAAAAGCACGTCATTTGAACGGCATTTATCACACGTCAATATGTCGTCAGTTTTTGGTCAGGTGACGAGTATTGACGAATTATCACCATATAAGGACGTCAATATGACGTACCCTTGCTGGCTGGGGAGTGCCAACCTAAATCCCATTTTACCGGCAAATTTGGTTATGATCTGACAGCATTCTATCTCTTTTTAGCTAGGGTTAAAAAAAAAGCGAAAATGCGCTCTAAGTGTAAAACGAATTTCAATTTCTTACAAACTGCCACTGGCAATAATTTCGACGTCATTGATTACCTGCAACCACTGATCTCAAAAATAAATGGATAAACAAAGAACGCTTCTAATGCTGCTAATTGACCTGTCTCGCATAAATGGAAAAAGATAGCTTAATTGTAATAAATACAAGTTAGAAAGTAATAAAAGATGACATGCGCGCGCAACTCGTAGGTTCAGTGTAGCCAGATTGTATTGTTGCAGAACAAATGTAAACAATACAAATCGAACATTATAACATTACAGAAGTGATATAGTGTCAAGTGTTCTACAACGCCTTAAATCAGACAAAAGAAGAGCTTTAAAGTGTATGTTAACATCGTTTGCACTTTTATTTTGATAGATGTTTCATCCGGCAACATCGCACAATGAAATGTCAAAGGTTTTATGTCAAGTATAATCTAACATAACCAATGAACTATAACCAAAAACTGGAATGCTAACACATAAGGACGAACTTGAGGCCTATATCTATCTATCTATCTATCTATCTATCTATCTATCTATCTATCTATCTATCTATAGTGCGGCTGCTGCGGAGGGGATACCTGTTTTTGTCGCACTCATTATGTTAAATGGCGAAAATTGCTTTCAACACGTATTCCAATTGATGAAACCTGTGAAGGGAAATATGACAAAACTTACGAAAACGTCATATGTCAGCGAGCAACAGAAAAAAAACAACATTCCCCCTTGTGGCATCTGTCTTTCATGGCTTCATTTTTTTGGCAGATATGGCAATGTGTGCGCATTCCAGTTTTTAGCTATAGTTCATTGAACATAACCTTAAACGACACTGCGGTGAATTCAAGTAATATGTAAAGTATTAGTTTGCTCTTTGTCGAATTACACGTTACAAAGAAAGAAGGAGCAATTCATTCTGAACTGGCCCCTGGATAAGAATATGACGCGAGCCTGTAACAAACTTGCTTCTCATTGGATGCTCACCTGCAGCCTACAAGCGACGCGCGCAGTCCAGGTAATAGGAGATCGGTCTATTTACGAGGTCATAATCTAAACAAAAACAACTGACTGGGACAGCTGTGAGCGTGCGCAGTAGATACATGTACTGTGCGTGCACACAATCTGGCCAATGAAAATGGAGGAATTTCAAAATTTAGAACAGTTGTTCGAAAGATAAGACACTGATTGTACTGCGCAGGCGTTAGGCTGTTCCGTTGCACAACTGTTCGTAGAATATTGACCCAATGAAGCCGTATGATTGTTTATCCATTTATTTTTTAGATCAGTGCCTGCAACCAGTGCAATCATTATTTTGATAATTTCACTATAGGCTAAAAAATGTCTAGTTTTCTGGGGAGTGATTACTCTCCCCCCCCGTATATGCGCCCCTGTAGTGTTGCTGGTTGCCATATTTGAAAAACCAAAGTCGAATGGAGATTTGGCATCTAGTGAGTCCCTACATGACTGATTGCGACATTAAATTAATTACAATAAAAATAAAGAGCTGGGGACTTTCATTAAAAAAAAAAAGGACATTGGGCATCTCAGAAACGGTAATCTTGGCAACAGTGCAAATAGCACCAATTGAATCGGGCATTCCCACCAATTGAATCGGGCATTCCGAAAAACCCGGGTAGGAAATATTGTGGGAAGTTCTGAAATATTAGAACGTTTCCATGTCTTCTGAACCAATTTATAACACTTTGGAGATTCAATAATAGGTCTCTAAAATATTTATAAATCTCTCAGAATAATTTAGAAATTAGTGAAAAACTTCTAGAATGCTCCAGAACTCTTTAAGCCAAGTTAGAACACTTTAGAAGTTCAATATGCCATTTAGAACGTTAAAAAACACTTTCCAGTGACGTTTTGAAAATCTTGAACAATTTAAAAACCTCAGAATTATTTCAGAGAGCCTACCTAGCGCCTGGAATAGACAAGAATTGAAAGTTATAAATTGAGTAATAACAAGAAAACATTAGTAAGAAAATTTTTCTCTTTTGATTCAAATTCTTGTATTTTTATAATTTTTCCTATTCCAGGCTCTTGTTGATTTCTCCTTAATTTTTTATTCTAAATTCGCAATTATCTTTTTGGCTTTTGAATTTTTTAATTCCAAGTTCTCCAATTCTCATTATTCTTGTATTTTGAAATTTCAAGTTTTTGATTTGTGTTTTAACTTTTACTTCTTGGTTTTTCAATGTTTCTTCCCATTTTTTTTCTCCCAAAATGCATTTGTGCATGTTTTCGTTCAAAGGAAATCAAGAATTTAAGAGCCTAGTATTTTGAATATAAATATAAAATGAGTAATATAATAATGAAATATTAATCTTTGTTTTTAGGCAGGCGTCTGAAAAACGTTGGGTTTTGTAACATACGACTTTGAAATGTCTTTAAGATGCCTTGAAGATGTAAGCAGACATCTAAATGATGTCTGGAAAGTCATTTGTGGACATCTTAGGGACGTCTTCAAGATGCCTCTGTGCTGTCAGAGTAGACATATTTTTTATCATACATCTTTTCATGGCTCTATATTATTTATTGTAATGGTTCAGAAATTATGATCCAAATTGAAAACAAAAATCATCTTCTCCAAAGGAGTTTTCTAATAAAACAATATAATATCCCAAAAAAAGTTTATTAATAAAAATAACATTACAAACATCACCTGGCATTGCAATTATGTCATGATTAGTTTCAAGGCTGAGGTACAAATTAAAATTTCCATAAAACACAAAATAACAAAAATACACACAACAAATAAAATCATTCAGTCGAATTTTTATAATTAATAGGAATACAAAAAAAAAAAAACTATCCACCGAATATAGATAGAAAAAAATATCTACAAAGAGGCTTCACATAAATAAAAAAATAAATAAAGGAGATTCAAAAGGAGTATAATATATGGTATAAAGCGTTTATATAAAAATTAAATGGGAATGTGATTATATTATTGTGTGTCAGATTCAGAATAATCTAGACATACATTTATATAAATTTTATTTATTTATTTAGGAAACTGTTGCAATTCCTTTGGAAAATTGTTAGTAAATTATAGTTTAACTTGTATAGTCTATCGTTTCTCAAATGAGACAAGGCAAAAATTGGGGTCTCCTCAAATTATCCTATTGCCCGTTAAAATTATTATACTATTGTTAGGAAAAATATATTGAGCGTGCCCGTATACATTGGATGCGAATCCACTTGCGAACAACGCATCTTATTGGTTGTTTTATACAGTCAACGTTGACTCCAGGAATATCTTATTGGTTAGAATTTTTAGCGGCGTATTTCTTTGAAAAGGCGGCTTCTTTGGCGGCATATTTCTTTGTAGCGGCCGCCGTTTGCGAATCAGTTTCGTCTGGAAAGACAGTGCAGTAGATAGTTTTTATACATTTGATTCCTATTTGAGTTGTATCGTGCCTCATGTTTTATTTTATATAAAACTGTTTTAATAAATTTCCCTTACTCCGCCGGTGCTTCATCAAGAAAACGCGGACGGCCAAAGGAATATTATTTTTTTCACTGTCTCATTTGACTATTGATAGACTATACTAAAAAATTGCTGGCCCTTTGAAAAGTAAATACATATATTACTATAGTGCAATTGTACTGAATGGCTGAAAATTTGTTCTTATCCATTTAGTATTAACTAATTTTCTAGTTTTGTCATGTCCTCACTGCTATTCGAATAAAAGCTCAAAGTTAATTAATCAAAAATATCACAACAATATTGACCTACTTACAACTAATATTTATATACAATAATTATTATCCACATATTAGCCAAATGTAATGTTCAAAGTCTTCAACGACATAGGTTCTATATACACTTCACCTAAACTAGTAAATTTTTTAATACTGTCCAAACCAGTTAAAGATTTCAATTCAATTTCTTGCACCTTTACCAAATTGAAATAATTATTATCAGAATCGAATTTAACCACCTCGCACGAGTAGTTGGAACTTACAGAACAATCGTATCCTTGCCTGTGCATAACCATCAGGGCACTATTCGAAGGGAATTGAGAATATTCATAATCCGATTGGGTTCTGAGGTTCAATAAATGTACATCGCAGGGTAAAGGTTTGTTAAGGAACATCAGTTTTTCTGGGGATGTTGATTGGTGCTCTTGGTCTAAGATGAAGGCCTGAGCTGGATAGTTTAGAGAGTTTGATAGGTGAGTAGCGTAAAGGGAGGGTCTTGGGAATGGTTCTTGTTTCGGTGGTTCCACTGGACCGGTGGGAACGTTGAAGGAACGGATCACGTCACCTGGAATAATTGAAATTGATTATTGGTAATAACAAAAAAATATGTCTCAGTCCTGAATCAATTGACTCATTATAAGAAAGTGATCTTTGAATTTTGAAGTACAAACAGAAGTCTTGAAAACTTTCCTCAGTAAACATTCAATAAATGGCGGCGATATATCTTTCCTTTTATTTCCCAACAAACTTAACGCTTATTACAGGGAAAAAAAAAAATTAACAACCATAATAATTGTATAAAAAAAATAATTTGATTCAAATAAAGCCTTGATTAAAATATGATAAAAAATGATATTATCAAATAGTCAATTAAATTGAAGAAAATGTTTTTTAATGTATATTTTGAACAAATTCAAAGGTTTTATATTTTTGATGTTTTCTGGTAAATCATTGTATATTTTTATGCCTGAATATAATAAAGATTTTTTGCCAATATTGGTTCTGAATTGTAATACTTTTAAATTTTTATTTTTTCTAGTTGCATAATTATAGAAATTTTCATTCTTTTGAAGGTTCAAATTTGATATTTTCTTTTTTGTTAATAATGCGTGAATAAATATTAAAATTTTCAATTTGTATAACTTATGTAAGCTCAGATAACCAAGGGGTTTATATAAATTAGTAGCTGGTTCTAGATACGGAAGTTTATGAATGCACTTAATAATTTTGTTTTGTAGTTTTTGAATTGGTTTTAATATTGAGTCATTTGCAGATCCCCATATCGAAACCAGATATTGAATTTTTGAATGGAATAGTGCATAGTAAATGTTTTTCTAATATTTTAAAGGAATGTAGTAACTCACTTTATATAATACGCCAACTAAAGGAGATAAACTTTGTAACATGTTGTTTATATGTTCTTTCCATGTTATATTTTCATCTATATAAAGTCCCAAAAATTTAATTGAATTTTTATACTGTATGTTATTGTTCTCAAATTTTATCGGATTTTTTTGCTCAACTAAAATTATTTTTTTATCAACAAACATGTAAAATGATTTTTCAAAATTTATAGTCAGTTTATTTGCCTGAAGTCAATTTTGCAACATTTTTAAATCATTTGAAATATTTGATTTTATATTGTCGAACGTTTTCCCCTTATATATAATATTGTTGTATCATCTGCAAATAATCGTATTTTACCGTTTAATTTTAATTTTTCTATCGAATTGATGTATATTAAAAATAATATTGGTGCAAGCACTGAACCTTGTGGTACTCCACATGTGATTTTTTTAAAAGAACTTTGAGTTTTATTTATTTTTACAAATTGTTGCCGATCTTTCAAATAATTCTTAAACCATTCGTGAATTTTACCCCTTATTCCAATTGTAATATTCCGAGAAAATAGACTCATAAATCCCAATGTCAATTACTGTAAAAATCAAATAATTAATGAAACAGTCAAAAACTGAATTTCCGTATCTATAAATCTGTATTCGATAAATTAAAAAATAAAACAAATTATCGCAAAAAGTATTGCAACACCGGCCAAGTCAATCTAAATTAAATTCTTAAAAACTGATAAAAACGAGGTGATGTCATCCTAAAATCCGATCAATGAACTTTTCTAGCCAAGGCCTTTCCGCTTAACAAAAATTGAGTCGAATGAATTATGGCATTCTTGAACCCAAACGTGTTGACCTCAATAAATCAGATTATTGCGACATAATTAATTGATTTTAGACTAAAAATAAAATAAAATTCAAGGAAATTGCATCATTCTTTTTAATAATAATGAGGCCGTCCAATGGAATTCGGATTGCTAAGCTAACGACCGCCTATATTGACGATTTGGGGGGATAATTAATAATATTTTGCGGGGAGAGCGAATTGATATAAAACCCGCGGAAGACAGTGGCCAGGGCAGAACAGTCTAGTCCAGTTTGAAGTAAAGTCTGCCCAGTTTCGCGAAAAGTTACCTTTATGGCGTTTTGCCTCGGGTATGTTTTAACTTAGAAAATTTACGGAAAATCGTGAAAGTAATAACATTTGAAATTCGTTCAATAAATTATTTGCGTGCTAGCTAAATATTTTGAGTAATTAATTAAGTAATTTTATGTGTGTTTTATGGACAAAATGTAAGTACTCTATAGTGACAACATTTATTTTTGATGAACATGACTTTGTGTGAATTTTACTAGAAAACTTTTCATTTTAATCATGGTGGAACTTTATTTCAATAAACTTAATAACTTGAGTGTTTTATAAAGGAAACATTATCGCATAACTTAATTACCTTCTGATATAATGACATTTAAATGTGCAACAAAAATATGAAGAGTACTTATAATGCATTTAACAATTTACTATTTTGAGTTGGAATTATGAATTAAACAGTTGTATTTATTAGCTAGGCATAGGAATCCGAAAATAGAATTTGTTCGGATAAACTATTAACTGCAATAGGAAATTTTGAAAAGAAATTTGATGTCATAAAATAGAATTGTTTTCTTGAAATATTGGAAACTTGTTAAAAGGAAACTTATATTAGAATTTGTTCATGAAATAGAATTGTCTTAGAATATGGGAAAGCTGTTAAAAGAATTTATTGTTCATGAAAGGAATTTTGAATTAGGGAATTTATTTTACAAGTAGAAGTTATTGTAAGATTTTATGAGAATAAATTAGTTGTTAAACAAATAGGTAATTATTTTGGGTTTTCATAAGTAATGGACTTGGAGATTTTAAGGAATTATTTGACTAGGTAAAGGATAGTTATTAGGAATGATTCGGATGTAGTAAAATGAGTTGAATTAGAATTTTGAGAAATAGTATGAATAGGGCGTTTCTGATTTAGTAGGGATATTTCAGTGGTCCGTAAAATAACAATATAGAACGAATGTGAAGTATTGCCTTTATAGAAATAAAAGAAGGATGTAAAGTATTGGAAGATATTTGAAAGATTTTTGGGTTTTATGTGAAAAAATATAATTTTGTACACCTCATTAGTTTGTTTCTCTCTCTTGCATAATTACTATATCAATTTTTTCTTCTTTAATCAAAATTTCTATTTCTTCCATTTTATTTTTCTGTGATCTTGCATTAATATATAATATTTTAAGAGGGTTTCCCATAATTTAGGAATAAATAATTCTTTCTTTGGCTTCCTTGACTTTTTGTTTATGTAATGGACACATGTCACTGTTTGCTTTATGTTCAGCATTTGATACTGTATTATTTTTCTTCTTATATGTTAGGCAGTTGATACATTTTGGATTTTTTTCGTTACATTTCCAATGTTGATAGTTTTTTGAACAAATTTTACATGCCTTATCTTTTTCACAACTATAGGATTTATACCCGCAACATTTGTAGCATTGCTTGATATTTAGGTCTTCTTTAAAATAGCAATGGTTCCAGTTTAATAATATTGTTTTATTGTTCAATTTAGAAAACGTTTTTCCATCAGTTTCAATGTTATAAATGAATTTTTTTGAATACTTGGATTTTCTTACATTTGTCATTTAAATCTAATAGTTGAAGTTGTTCCAAAGTCTTTTTTAATTCATCTTCATTATATTTCACTGCACAGTGTGGTCATTTTATCTTGATAACATTTTAAACTGTTATAATTTCTTTATTTTTGAAGTTATTTAAATAAATAACTAAATATACTGTAGGGTTGCTTTCCAAGTTTTAGATAAGATGGACAAAAAACAAAAGACTAATATATTTTGACAGTTATGCGCACAAATAGTATTTTTTTAAATGGAACACCCAGTAATTTTGTAGTTTGTTTTATAATATGTTTCATTCTGATTGCAATATATATAATACAATACAATTGAATACAATTCACTTTATATTTACACGCAGAAATGTTTTATTTATTTTAGCTGAAAATATTGATTACCTACAGAGATTACCTGCAAAGGAAAGTAGGTAGACAGAATTTCCCATTAGAATAAATGAAACATTTCTGCACGTAAATATGAAGTAAATTGTATTCAATTGTATTGTATTGTATATATTGCAATCAAAATTAAACATATTATCAAACAAAGTATAAATTTATCGGGTGTTCCATTTAAAAAAAATGTTATTTGTGTGCATAACTGTCAAAATATATTAGTCTTTTGTTTTTTGTCCACCCTATCTAAAACTTGGAAAACAACCCTACAGTATGTTTTTTTATTTATTTAAATAACTTCAAAAATAGAGAAATTATGACAGTTTGAAATATTATCAAGATAAAATGACCACCCTGTACATCCCAACATTACTAATTTGGGGTTCTTTAATCGAGGTATTTGACATGTAAAGTTGTTACTTAATTTTTCTTCAGTTATTTTTTTAAGTTTCATTGTTTCCTATGGTTTCTTCCTCAGATTTTATTTTTATAATGATTCCCCCATTTTTGATTTCTTTTATTTTTGTTACTGATACATTAACCAAGCTTGGGTTAATTTCTTTTTGAGGAAAATTTTTGGTTTTTTCGAATGGTTGGTTTACTTTTGGTCTTATAATATAATAACAAAGGTAATTAAACAAAATGACTTGAACACTAACTGTAATAGTTTTGCTATGAAAATCTTGCGTAGAACCAGAGTCATAAATGAAAGGTTTAATTTAGTATTTCAATTAGATGATGATACTTATAATTTGTTTATTAATAGGGAAAAGATGAATATTGGGTGGAACCGTTGTTCTGTTTACAATGAGTATGGTGTTATCAGATGTTTTAACTGTTGCCAATTTGGCCATTTTAGTAAGGATTGTACTGGAAAGGCGATATGTCCTAAATGTAGTGACGAACATGATGTCAAGGATTGTACCAGTAACGTAAGTAAATGTTCAAATTGTATACTGTCTAATAAAAAATACGGAATGAGTCTTAATATCGATCATGTAGCTTGGGATATAAATTGTGAAACTTTTAAGAGGGTGGAACAAACTCAACGAAACAAATTTATCAAATAGCAACTGGATGCTAGACTGGAAATTAATTCTAGTATAGTATATTTTAATTGTCAGGGTTACCTAAATAACAAAGATAATATA